GACCCCATGCTAAACCACACCTCATCCTTATGACTTTGTAAGTCTAGTCTGTGCATAAGACTTAGTTTTGAGGGGGGTTGACTTCCTCAGTCCTTCGAACCATAGAGGAAGGACACAGAAGGAGTTACAACTCTGGCACATCAAAGTGCTCGATGATTATCGAGAGTTTGGACTTTTATATGAGCACCCTAAAGCTTTCCAAAACCATATATTTACCGATGTATTCCATGTGTATTCCTACCTCCATGTGTATTCCGATGTTAATTTTGCAAAACTTCCCATTGTCCATGGCTTTGGAAGCCATCTCTTTACTTTTTGCAGCTGTTCAAAAATCAAAATCTCACGAGTTTGTCCGTGTGTTCCTATAAAACCCTGACGAGGAGGTGGTGTGTGATGCTGTTCCGAGAACAGTGCTCTTGAGTCGTGTTTGCGCCGTTTGATCCCGCCGTTCAAGCGGGAACAAGAAACCCGTGTCAAGAATTAGAACAGGCCGCCCGAACTCCACCAGTGTGATGGTGATTCGTCCGGTATAGCGCCATCTTGTGGCAGCGTGTTACTTCGTGCCGCCACCCTTGGTTAAAACCATTTCGAACCAAGGCGCTTTTCCAATACTCGACTCGGGCTTCGTCTCAGGCTTCGTTCCCAAAACCAGTCCCCGATTGTGGGCCTGAATCGTTTAAATTATATTGGATTATTGTAATTTCTGGCTCTCTTGCATCTTATTTGATGTTCCGTGGCACTATTAGACTAATTACTGCGCTTACAGCTTCCAAGTCTGCGAGGCAATCTGATTTTTTACTCACACGGTCTCGGGAGCGGACTATTCCGTTGAGTCCGTTCTCATTTTTCAGGGTTGCAGAGCCCTGAGTCCGTCCTAAAGGTATATTAATTAAAAACCAGTTGAAGCCTGAGACGGAGCCAAAGTTGAGTATTGGAAAACGGCCCATGACTAAGGCTTGCCCGAATTACTCGGCTGAGGCTTGGCGCATGGAGTTACGCACGAGAAGTCTGGTTGTGGCTGCAGCAACTTCCCATTGATTTTTATGTTATGTTGAGCCGAAGCCAAGTCATCCGGACACAGCTAACAACGCTCAACCGTCATCAGTTCATGACCCACCTGCCGTTTGACTCATTGGCGCAAGATCTCATTGGCTTAGAAACAGACGAATGTACCGATTCAACCAATCAGCAAGCGCGGCAGTATTGCAACACGATTGCATCTATTGATCTCCATTGTAACATGTATCATATCAATGCGCAATCATTGCAATGATCGCGTCCATGAAAAAATGGCGCCGGGACAGGAGAGCCAGAGAAAACGGAGGAGGCACTGTTCAGAGGTGGGAGATGTAATTAAATTTCGACCAGAGGAAAATCCTAAATGGCGTACAGAGGGAGATAGTGTTCCACCAGTGGATGACATGGTAAGGGAGATTGTAGGATTCCAAGCGAAGTGGAATCTTGTGAAGGAAAAATGCAACGCTGATGTTGGGTCTGTTCAGAAAGAATTCCTACACAAATTTATCTTTCACTGCAACAAGGAAGAGAACCGCGGTTGTGATACTTTGGAGGAAACTCAAAAGTGTCTGACCTCGAAAAAGGACTATTCTGATTTGTCAGATAAAGAAAAAGAAACAGTGGACTTGAAAAATGCCTACGAATACTTGCTAGATGTAAAGGAAAAGGAAACGGACACAAAATGTCATGGCATGATTGAGGAATCCATGCTGAGAGGTGCACACAAATTCATCCTCGGACATGTCAAAAGTGTGCCCAAGACTTCAGGTCTCACTGAACCCGGGCAATACAGTAAAAATCAGCGGTATACAACTTTTAGAGGAGAGACACATGAATACCAAATGCCAGAGGACATGCACAATGCCGTTAATGTTATTTTAGACAGGTTTAACTCTCTGTTCAAAGAATCACAGTGTGGACTTGCAAAGTCCGATTCCCAAGGAAGCCAGACAGACGAAGCAGAGGATTGTGAGCAGCTTTCTGACAACATGCTTAAGCTGCTGAAAACTTGCAGTTGGCTGGTGTTTGAGATGCTTGACCTGCACCCGTTTGGAGATGGCAATGGGAGACTTTGTCGTTTGCTCTGCAGCTACGTGCTGTCCACCTGCACCCCTTTCCCCACGCCCGTCTACAACATCTGGAGCACATCCTCCAAAGATGACTACAAGGATGCTCTCGTGGAGGCTAGGAATTTGATTCCCCATTATCCCCGGGCATTGGCCACCATGATCATCGAATGCAGCTGGTACGGTTGGAAAGAGTTCCTCAAACATTTTCCAGAGGTGGACACTGATGAGAAGCCTGGAAATGATGCATCTTGCCCAGACATACCAGAGCAGGAGAGGCACAGCCTTGAAGTTGAAGATAGTTCACTGGCCTCCGTCATGTCCATGTAGGCCTAAGCCCCTAGCCTACATGTACATGGATACATGTCAAAAGGTTAGACCGTGAGAGAGACAAAAGCCTGCCTGAAATGAATTGAGCATGTTATGCACAACCTACAACATACATGTACATGTTACGCCCCAACTATAACATCAGTCCCAACTGTAGTTGAGACCGTCCGAAGTTGGGCCCGTCCCAACTAGAGTGCTATAGTTGGGCTTGCCAAACTGTAGCACAGAGGTCCAGTGTGCATGTGTCCAGCATGTGACAAAGTCATGCTCATAGATGAAGTACCATATTTTAGATGAAATGTGTCAAGTATAAGATGCACTTGGTTCGGGTTGAGAAAATTTTTATAGAAATTTGTCAACAGTAGTTGGGCCAGCCCAACTGCAGCACTACAGTTGGGACTGTCCCAACTGTACATGTACATGTAGTTGGGACAGATGCTATAGTTGGGG